CGCGGCTAGGTCGTTCTTTTCTACACCGCTGTTAAGGCTCAGTTCTTACTCTGAAAACTCAACTGTGTACATTATTGTGTATGCTTATATCAGCAATCATTGCTCAATGTTCACGTTAAGGTTGCTGGCTAATATTTCCTTTCAGACGGATATCATCGGAAAGTGGAAAGTGGAAAGCATTTTCAGATTCCTCGTTAAATAATAAGCTTTCAAATGAGCTACCGAAATGGCCCGCGTCTCGAAAATGTCGGTAATGTAAACCAAGTTATGGTAGCGGTCAATTTGTACCCTATTACATAGTAGCTCGTGTGAAAACTATTTTCACGAGGAATCTGAGAATGCAAGTCACTTTCTAATGTTGTCCAGCTAAAAAGAAATATGAGCCAAAAACCTGGACGTGATCATTGATGATCTTTTAACTTAATAATAAGCAAGGCAAACTTATATTCAGAGATAAGGTCAAATTACCGACTGCAACCGTTTTTAAATTATAAGCAGTTATGTTTTTGCCTACATAAGCAAAAAAATGCTGAGACAGGAATCGCTTAGCTGCCTTAGCAAAGCGCTGCTTTTCAGTGGTCTCAGCAAAGCGGTGCTAGCCATATTTTTTGCTAACATAGCGAAAAGGTAAATTGCTAATCATTCAGCAACGATTTTTGCCGAGACAGCAAGTTTTTCTCAGTGCGTTAATACGCTAACGCTCCGCGCAGCACACGAAAAATAGCCCGGCTAAACTCTTATGAGCCGATGCCGATGAGGTACGCACGCAGTAGGGAATCTAAAGCTCCAGGCATATCCTGAAAAGGCGATTTTCTTTTCAATTGTTTCTTGCTTATTTCGAGTCCCCGTTTGCAGTCTGTCAGACCCAGGCCGGGACCCCCTCGATATGTATGTGCGCACTCGATAAAACCTTTTTCAGATGATCAGTAATACACTGTAATACCTGGTAATACGCTGTAATACCTAGTAATACCTGGTAATACTTGGTAATACTCGGTAATACTCGGTAATACCTGGTAATACCCTGTAATACCCAGTAATATTCGGTAATACGCGTAATACCCGTAATACGGAGTAGTCTGTACACGAAAATCCGAAGTGAATACCCCCTCGAGGCTGTGCTGTCTGTAGTGACGATCGGGGGGTAGGAGGAGGAGACGGCGGGGAGATGCCGGGTAGTAGAGAGAAAAGAAGGGGAAGAAAGAGATTTCCCGCCGTGGGGTGTATCAGGCAGGACGTGCGGCGGCGCGCGGTCACGGGGCAGAGAGGATGATGGAGGGGGGGGGGGAGAAGCGGGTGAGATTCGGGAGGTCCGCCAGAGGCAATTATGGGGGCTTTGCCGTACCTGGCAGGCCTTGATAAAAAGGCCGCCCATTCATCCTCGGCGGATCGATTGTTCTTTCTGCCCTTGTTGCAAAAAAAAATATAATATATATAATGCAGCTATTTGTCAAACCCGCGCGACCTTCCCAAAAGCACGGCGGCGGCGGCAGTAGACGCAGCAGCAGCTCGCGCTAGAAATCCCAAAACGCACACAGTGCTCGGTGCGGAGGAGCGGAAGAAAAGTTTCTGCTGGTCGTTCGTGTTCGCCGGGCTGCTGCTGCCTCGCGCCCGCCTGCTACGGACCCCTCGGACGTTCCCGTGCCCCGTGCTGCGAGCCAGGAGCCCAGGCCGGAGGCCCGGACCAGCCCCACGCACAATCAACTGTGTCGTGTCGCAGTCACCTGCTATGTATTTTTTTTCTCTTTCTCTTTCTCCCTTTCGCGTGTTTGTGCTTTTTTTGGCACCGAAGAAAAGAAAAAGGGGCTGCTGTGGAAATCGACTTTGTGTTGGAGTATTTCAATGGCCAGGGCTGAGTAAGTCATTTTGAGACAAACGCCTCCCCCACCGTCCCCCCTCCTTCCCCTTCGCAAGCCACTTTTACTACTCTGTCGATAGACTAGGACTGGAAGCTCGTAAATATAAGGGATAGTGTGAATTATTGTTTATTGGCAAATCCGTGGAAGTTATATTAGTAGAGAAAACTCGAGAAAATCACACCAACGTTTTTTCTTTCGTTTTTCAAGTTTCTTTTTATTAAAGTAAAGCAGAAAAGCGATCACACAGCTCAAAGCCGCGGGAAGCCGCGCAGGGTAGGGGGACACGGGGAGGTAAAGAGTAAAGTAAAAAAAAATATATCACATTCTTCATACGCGAGATGCATAGCCTATTCATGATCGTTGCAACCCGTTCATATAATGGGCCCTGAAAAACTATTGTCGCAGGCCGTTCTACACATGAGGTACGAGATCGGTTCAGCTTTGTTAATATCACATAAATTAAACAATAAATACAGTAATGGCCAGAGACTTGACAAATGAGTATGGTAACCATGGTTGATTGGGTTAGAGCGGGATCACGCGGATGCACCAGGTAATTTGTACATTTTCCGTCGGTGAATATCATCAGCATGACATTCACTGAATCCCACACTTCCTGAACACTTACAAAAAGTTCCCTTTAGAATTACAATTAAAGCAGGAGCCGTCATAAATGTCCAAGAAGGCCGTCGCAGGTTCGCGCACCTCGCAGAGATCAATAGTAGGGTCCGGACTGGCCGGCGAGGTTAGCGGCGCCCTGGTCACCCTGCTGCGCACCCTGCTGATCGTCGGGCTGCTGTCCTTGGCCCTCCGCGCCCTGGGGCTGTGGGTACTCGTAGCCTTGTTGGTCGCCCTGCTGGCCGCCCTGCTGGTCGCCCAGCTGGTCGCCGCCCTCGTAGCTGACCTCGGGTCGGTAGCCGTCCTGGTCGGCGACGTACTCGACCTTCTGGGTGCGGCCGTCGGGCAGCAGCACGTGGTACATGCCCTTGGCGACGTCACCGTCCCGCTCCTCCTTGTGGCCGAACTTGGTGCCGAACTCTGGGGCGTCCACCTCGTACATGAACTGGTACTTGGCGGGTTCCTTGGGAATAAATCGAGAAAAGTCGCTTAGTCAACGTGGGGACAGAGTCAGTAGCCGGTTGTATCAGAGCGGATCGCGGATCACTGTTGCGGGATCGACTATCCCCTTCGCCCGTAAGGCGCCATGGCTCCTGTGGCCCGAGAAGGTATCCAATCCCGTAACTTTCTGATACACCCGGTACATACACTCGCAAACACTGATTGGTACTCACCGTGGTCTCCTCCTCGCCGCCGCTAGACGGGCCGTAGCCCTGGCCTTGATCCTGGCCTTGGTCCTGGTCAGCCGATGGCGGGCCGTACTGGGAGGAGGGGTTGGCAGCGGGAGCACCGTACTGCGAAGAGGGGTTGGCAGCGGGAGCGCCGTACTGGGAGGCGGGGTTGGCAGCGGGAGCACCATACTGCGATGAGGGGTTGGCAGCGGGAGCACCGTACTGGGAGGAGGGGTTGGCAGCGGGAGCGCCGTACTGGGAGGCGGGGTTGGCAGCGGGAGCACCATACTGGGAGGAGGGGTTGGCAGCGGGAGCACCGTACTGGGAGGAAGGGTTGGCAGCGGGAGCACCGTACTGGGATGAAGGCGCAGATGGTTTGTTGAAGGGCGTTGGTAGATTTGCAGCTCCTTCGTAGTTAAAGGCAGGCCCAGACGGGGCGCCGTGTTGGGCTGAAGGAGCACTCAGGGGCCTGGAGGGCGTTGGGCGAGCGAACGGCGAAGATGGGCCAGCTGCAGGGCCACCGAAGTTAGCACTGCCGCCGAAGTGACCAGACGGGCCGCTGGGTGCGTGGAGCTGAGATGACGGTTTGGCAGCGGGAGGTCCGTACTGCGATGAGGGGGTGGCAGCGGGCGGGCCGTACTGCGATGAGGGGTTGGCAGCGGGCGGGCCGTACTGCGATGAGGGGTTGGCAGCGGGCGGCCCGTACTGCGATGAGGGTTTGGCCGATGGGGCGCCGTAGTTAGCGGAAGGACCAGCCGGAGCACGGCCACGCGGGGAGAACTGAGGCCGGCGTCCACTAGCGGGAGCAGAAGGGGCGTCAGACGGTCCAGAAGGGGCTGCCAGATTGTGATGGCCACCAAAGCCTCCGGGCCTGGGCCCACTTGGTTGACGTCTGGGACCTCCACGGGCGGGAGAGCCGAAGTTGCCCGCAGGTGTAGCAGGGGCTCCGTAGTTGCTAGCAGGTGCAGGCGCACCATAGTTGCTGGCAGGAGCAGGAGCGCCAAAGTTGCTGGCAGGTGCAGGGGCGCCGTAGTTACTGGCGGGTGCTGGGGCGCCATAGTTTCCGGCAGGTGCAGAAGAATCAAAGTTGCTGGCAGGTGCGGGGGCGCCAAAGTTGCTGGTAGGTGCAGGGGCACCGTAGTTGCTGGCGGGTGCTGGTGCGCCATAGTTTCCGGCCGGTGCTGAAGAACCAAAGTTGCTGGCAGGTGCAGGGGCACCATAGTTTCCGGCAGGTGCAGAAGAACCAAAGTTGCTGGCAGGTGCAGGGGCGCCAAAGTTGCTGGCAGGTGCAGGAGCACCGTAGTTGCTGGGGGGTACTGGGGCGCCATAGTTTCCGGCAGGTGCTGAAGAACCAAAGTTGCTAGCAGGTGCAGGGGCGCCAAAGTTGCTGGAAAGAGCAGGAGCGCCGTAGTTGCTGGTGGGGTTAGGGGCTCCGTAGTTTCCGGCGGGGGCCGACGGCCCGTGGTTGCCGCCGGGCGCGCCGTAGTTTGTGGCGGGCGCTCTCTGGTTACCCCCGAAGCCCGTCGGACGCATGCGGGCGCCGAACCCGCGAGACGGTCCCCCGAATCCGCCAGCGGTGGGTGCAGGTGCGCCGTACCCGCTGGCGGGCGACACTGCTCCAGCCTTGTTCGCGAACCCGGACGCGTCGTCCTCGCCGTCGCCTCCGAACACCGCCGCGGTCTGTCCGTTGTCGGAGCTTGCGCCGTAGCTGGAGGACGGCGCCGGCCTCGCACCTCCACGCTGTCCGGCGGGCCCGGACGGCGTCATGTAGTTCCTGGAGGGCTTGCCGCGCATGCCCGCGATCACGGCGCCGAAGTCGGAGGTCGGGCTGGACGGCGCCGGGCCGGAGGCGGCGAAGGACGTGGCGCCGGAGCGTGGCGGGGGCTGCTGGCCGTAGCCCGTCAGGTCGCCGCCGGAGGGGCTGTAGCTGGAGATCGGCCGTCCGGGCGCCTGGCCGGGCACGCCGTAGTCCTGGCTGAGGCCGGCGGCCTGCTGGCCGTGACCGCCGTGGCCACCGCCACCGGACGGCGACAGGTACTGCCTGCTGGGACTCGGGGGCTCGGCGCGCACCACCGTCCCGCAGACCAGAACGGCCACGACGGCGAGGCGGAGCATCTGCAACAGTAAGATGTGGTTGCCCTCGCGGTTTACTACGTCCCCCGCGCTCCCCGCGGCAGCGTGCCGCCGCCGGTGTACATCCTGCCGCCGGCCTGAGCCAGGACGGCCACCGCAGCAGGCGAGCCGCTCGGCCGCGTCCCTACAAGGGAGCAGGGGCCTAAGTGAGGTCAGCACGCCGCGCTGAGCGGATATAGAGCGAAATTAATGAGGTAAACTGGGGCGCATTACCGCAGTAAATAGAAACAACAAGCAATTCATGCGAAAGCAAGGAGAGCATATTATACAGGGTGGGCCGCAGACCCCTTCCTTTACTTCGCTTTGTGCTGTACCGCATGCAGGCGGGCGAGCGGGTTGCATATAGGACCGGGGCCGTAAGGCACCACTACTCTGTGAGCGAAGGGTAAGCAAACCCGCCAGCGCACCTGCATCCGGTGCAAAGGAAGCAAAATAAGGGAAGGGGTCTGTTGACCACTCTGGTAACTTGTTCTTTAGTTTTTCCGCGGCAGCTGAAAGTGTACGACTACTCGCAGCTCGCAGCACATCCATCGGCCCTTCATTGAGCCGACAGTGCCGCATGGCCCACCCCGGGGCCCTCCCCTCGCTCGACTCACGCGTATGCAAAAGGAAGTCAACTACTGAAACTATCCCATCCGCACGTACACTCACGACCCTCTCTCGAAAATTCAAATTTACCCCGCCTGCAAGTTGGGGCCCGCGGCGAGCTGCTGCTGCTGCTGCTGGTCTCATCCTCTCGCCCAAACCGACCCCGGCGGCCCCAGCGGCGGCGGCCGGCGACCGGGCGAACCGAGTTCGAGAGATGGGCTTCGTTCGCTGCGTGCAGGGACTCTGAAGCACCAGAGGGCTCGGGGCTCGCGTCGCCCTTGCAACGACACCCCTACGGCAGTGCCTCCCCCGTCCTCCCCAAGCCTAGCACACTAATAGGGCCTAGCGCCTGAACAGCCTCATCCACCCCACCCCCACCCCCACATTCTCCCCTTGGAATCTAGATTCGCAGCCGACGCCTATCAATGTTCTATTGTGCGGCGGATAGAGGAGCCGCCGCAGTCCCATATACGTGCATTACCGCACACGCTGCTCACCCCCTCCCCCCTGCTCCTACCCTCGTGCGTTCTCATCTTTGCCAAAATTCTCCCACTTCTGAACGAAAATTGTTAACAGTAATTTGTTTTTACAATGCGTTGAATACAAAGCCGGTGTTGTGGGTTTGTCATAACCGCCCCACCCGTTCAGGCGCTATTATCAGTTGGTATTGGACTGGACACACGATACGGTAAAATAAAAATTAAAACCAATTTATAACATTTAAGTCACTGCAACTCAACCAACTTGAGGTATTCCATAAGTAGGCGCTTTAATAAAGAATTCTATGTATTTCGGAGACGATTTTTGAGATAAATTTCAAATTTTGTAAAAGTCAGCGATAACTGCGAAAGGCGTTAAAATTTGCCCCCTGGCCTGCTGTGATGTTTGGTAAATTTATTTGGTATTTGTCTCTTTTTAACTATTCTGGTGTTGAACCCCTGTGGAGTACTAAATGTCTGCTAGATTGGCTCACCTGTGAGTGCATGCTGTATCCGTGCGGCGGAGGCTGGCGGAGTGCGATGAGCAGGGTCACGCCGCTCCGTTTTATACGACTTGGGTCGTGGGGGCCCCCCTCGGGGTCCCCACCACCCTGGGCCCGGGCACACGGGCGGGCGTGGGCCTGCTGCGGGAGGGCCGGCGGGGGGAGGGGCGCATCGGAAGTCGGGGGAAGCATTCTGACCCCACTTGGGCCCGTCCCAGCCAGGCCCGGTGCATCCGCAGAAGTAGTTGTACGTAGTGGTAGTAGTAGTGGAGCTGTTGGGAGAGGAAGGCGAAGGCTCTGTGAACAATGACAAGGAAATGTTGGAAAAATGAATGGCAAGCGTGGCAAGCTTCTTCGTCGCAAGCACCTACAGGCTAGTAGTGCTTTATAAATAAATATACTCTGAAACAAGGCTGTTTTCGTCAACTTTTTGCGTTTGCGAGGGTTTTATTTTCGGGCAGCCCCTCGTGGCTGACTCTACCGGTCTCTACCCGAAGGTATAAAAGTTTGCCCGTTTGAATAAGGATTGCCGTTTGCTGTTCCAAGTTTTGTTATTTCCCCATCTGACTTTTTTCCCTCTATTATTTGACCTTTCCGCATTTTGTGGGCATTTCCTGTGTGCACACTCGTATGGATACGGCGGGACGGCTTCCCCTGCATACGTACGCCTGCATACCCGACCATCCCTTCACCATCCATATTCAGTCCACCGCGCACCGTAAGCTCCCCCTCCCCCCCCCACCCCCTCCCCGGTGAAGCTCTTTCCGAGAGTGCAGGTCCACCCCCTGACCAACCTTTCTCCAAATGTCTCCCAGGAATGACAAGGAAGGAATAAATCTACGGACTGTAAGCGAAGGGTGCAAAATAAGCGGTTCTCTTGGGCTGTTTCGTGCGTTTTGAGGCTAATTTTGAAATTTGAGGTCGGAATTTTCGCTGAGCGAAGCTCAGTCCAAGTTGCTGAGGGGTCAGGCGTTGTCTCGGTCGTGAGTCTGTCTGTCCGTGTGTACGTTCG